TAATTTAAGTACACTCTAGAGTTAATTATTAGTAACTATAGACCCTAATTTATATTGTCTTTCTAGTAGGAGTTCTGCTAAATAATTAGTATAAAGGTTAAATTGTTAATAGCCTACTATAAGCAGACTAATAGATAGATAGAAATTATAAACTAGTATATAGACTAGAGACTAAGGCCTTTTGTATCCTATTACTAGGATAATTAGAGCAAGCTTATTCCTATTATAAACTATGTATAAATGATACTACTCTATATATCTATTAGGATAACTCCTTCCTAACTTAAGTATAGAACTAATCTATATATAAGTTAGGATTAGAACACCCTAAAGGCTATTAATCCCTAAGAAACTTTAAATTACAATGAAGCTAAAGTAGTAGCTACCTAAATACATAATGTATAGGCTATTATAAAGGGAAATATAGCTAAAGTATAAGAAGAGATGTCTTAGTATATAAATTAACGCTAAAGAGCTGTTAATTAGGATATAGGTAATAAGGTTTATTTATTAACTAAGAACTTAAGAAACTCTTACCCTAGCTAGAAGTTAGAGTAATAATAGGTTAGACCTTATATAGTACTAGAACAAATTAGGCACTCCTTTTAATTAGAGCTACTAAAGGGTTCCTAAATACATAATGTCTTCTTACTAGACATACTTATTAAGGCCTTAAGTAATCTACTACCTAGTTAAGTAGCACCTAAGCTAAGTAGCAAAGTTATAGATAGCCTAGAGGAGTAGGAGGTTAAAAAGATTCTTACTATAAGGATCTAGTAAAAACAACTCTAATACTAGGTATCCTAGGTTAGATATAATCTAGACCTAGAATAGTACCCTACCTTAAACTTTAAGAACTCCCTCTATAAAATCTAGGAGTTTTATATAGAGTACCTAAACCTACTAGAACTACTATAGGACCTACCTAGTTAGATTATAGAATAGGAGATAGGTAAGCTAAGCTACAATTATAGGAGGTATAGTAAAGTAGGGAAAAATAGCATTATTACTACCTATAATACTAAACTAAACACCCTCTAAGTTAGGGTAGCCTTAGAGCTATAGCCCTTATAGAAGCTACCCTTCCTAAACGTCTTACTAGTGTTATAATAAGCAGCTACTACTATAAGAGATAAAGGGTTAAAGTGACCTTATATAAAAGACTACACCTAAGTTCCCTCTAATATAGGGCCTACCCCCTACTCTCTATAGAAGGCCCTAACCCTATTCTCTACCTCTGTTACAGCTAGGGTTTTTAGCAGCACTATCGCCAACACCCTAAGTATAGTAGTAATAAGGATGTTAGCGATTTAACCGCCCTTAAGGCAGGGTTAAGTATTAGGCACCTAAGGAGTGTCTAGCACCTAGGCTTATAGGTACTAGAAGACAGTTAGGCACCTAAGGATTAGGAGGTACCGGATGGACAGGTACTAGAAGAATCACAGGTACTAGAAAGAGAATAACCCACATGATAGAATAGCAGGAATAGCAAGAATAGCAAAGGAGTTTGCTATTCTAACTATTCCCTTTAGCATAACGCTACTATATAAGTAGATAGTTAGTTCTTAGATAGGAGCTTCGTGCTCAACTTAATATAGTATTTGTTATATACTATAACGTGTTTTATAAAAGCCTTTATGTCTAATCCCCTGCCTCCTCTATTAAGTAAACTAACGTAACGAAACCTCTATAAGTCTTATAGTTTAAGACCTAGCGTTACAACCTCCTTCTCCTTCTCCTTCTCTTTTCTATAGGGGGTAGGTACTAGGACTAACTTTATAGTAATAGTAACAATAGCTATAGTACCTACCTCTACTATGTTTACTACCTCCTTTAAGAGGCTAGGAACCTCTACTTACTCTATCTAAAGACTGTATAGTAACAAACAAACAGCCTAACCTAGGTTAGTACTAATACCCTACTAGGAAAGGAGATTTACTTACCTTAAGTCTTAAATTAAGAGACTTAAGGGCTATGTAAGTTATATAGGCCTCCTTATAGAGGTCCTAAGTTGCCTTGTCCTAGAACTTAGAGATAGAGGTAGTAGCAAGTAATAGGACATAGTTAGCCTTAATAGTAGTAGTAATAACATTGTTAGGGATAAGGGGGGTAGCTGCCTTAGTAGTAATAATAGTAGCGAACTTAGTCCCTAGGAACTAGGGTAGCTATTCCTACTAAGTTAACACTAAATAAACCTAAGAACAAGCTAAAAGCAAAACTAAAAAGCAATAGGAAACCTACTAGAATATACATAGAATGCTATAAAGTATAGTAACTACACTTTAAGCTAGTTAAGGACTAGACATAAGTATAGGCTATAGCTCTATAGGAAATTGCCTAAAGGCAGTAGATGTATAGAACATAGAAGGAATCTACTAAAGCCCTAGAGGGCATAGGAACTAGCATCTTTAAATTAGAAATCTACAATTCCTATTAGCTTAGCCTAAGTTATTACTACTGTGCTAGTATAGTTCCTAAACCTACTAAATCGTTTAAATTGGTTTTATATCTAAAAACAATTAATTAGTATCCTTCTCTATGTTTAGGAGGGGCTACTTACTAGACTTAGAGGGGGGGTTTAGCATTGTTGTTGTAAAGAAAACAATAGGAAGTAGGTAAACCTTAATTTTATATTCTAGCTTATAACAAAGCTGTCTAAATTAGGTTTAGTATAATCTATCTCTCCTTATATAAACAATCTAGAGTCTATAGCCCTAATTAGACTTAATTTAATACTAACCTAGACCCTTACATACAACTTACTACCTTAAATAAAGAAATACCTACTCCTCTACCCTCCTTAGCAACGACTTAGGCTATAACACCCTTAACTTATATAACAAACTAAACATAGAGTTCTATATATATACTTTAAGGACAAAGCACCCTCTAAAGGTAGGGGGTAGTATAAGGATGCCTCCTTACTTAAGTTAGTTATAGTTGTTATATACTGCCCCTAAGACTTAGGGTAGTTATAGTTTAATTACAACTATAAGCCTTAAGTATATAGCATAAAGAAGCCTTAGGTAAATAGGGGGTTAGTTAAGTTAGAGGGGTTTTAAGTATAGAAGGAAATAGGAACAGAGGGTTCCCCCTTTATCTTTTTTATATCCTTTATAGTAGACCTATAGGATTACACTAACTACTATCTAACTTACACTCCTATATACAACCTCTTATAATATAGTGTCCTATGTCCTTATAATAGGGAGTATAGCTCTCTATAGGTATATATAGAAGTATAAGTTAAAGGTAATGCTATATTCTATCCTATAGGTCTACTATAAAGGATATAAAAAAGATTAAGGGGGAACCCTTTATAGCTATTCCCTTAAATACCTAAAACTACTCTAACTTAGTTAACTCCTTATTTACCTAAGGCTTCCTTATACTATATACCTAAGGCTTATAGTTATAATTAAACTATAATAGCCCTAAGTCTTAAGGGTACTATATAACAACTATAACTAACCTAAGTAAGGAAGTATCCTTATAAGTTAAGTAAGTAGGGTATTTTAAGTTAATATAAGCTAGATATATTAATAGTAAATTTCCTTAGCTATCTCTATTACTAACATAGGTGTTACTAGAAAGCTAGTACTTATAAGTTATATAATCTATTATACTAATGTCTTTTCTTCTATATTAGAGAGTAAGTAGACTTCCTTATAAGCTTATGCCTTTGTTTTACACCTAGCTATCTAGTTATATAGTATTTAAGCTAGAACTTAAAAGTATATTACTATAGCCTAAATAGATAAAAACTATCTATTTTTCTAGCTAGTTATTACCTTTTATATATCTTCTTTAGAATATACTTTACTAGTTATATATTTATAGCCTATAGTTAGTAGATATAATAGTTAGAAGCTATAGTAGTTATAAGGATACCTCCTTACTTAGGTTAGTTATAGCTATTATATAGTACTATTAAGACTTAGGGCTATTATAAGTTAGTTATAACTAACAGCCTTAGGCATATAGCATAAGGAAGCCTTAGGTAAATAGGGAGTTAACTAAGTTAGAGTAGTTTTAGGTATTTAAGGGAATAGCTATAAAGGGTTACACCTTTATCTTTTTTATATCCTTTATAGTAAACCTATAGGATTATACTAACTTCTATCTAACTTATACTCCTATATACTACTTCTTATAATATAGTGCCTTATATCCTTATATATACCCTATACCTTAGGGCTAGTAAGAGGGTAGTATATAGCCTTAACTTATAGCTAAGTTAGTAGGGGCCTAACTTTAAAGTAGTAGATAAGGGTAGCTAAGCCCTCTATAGGGAGGGCTTAGAGATTAGTCTATTAAATACCATTTCTATTACTAGAGCCTATAGCTATAGCACACTTCTACTAAACCCTTATAGTTACTCTATACATTACGTTATACTATAACATGTTACTTAAAGCCTTTATGTCTAATCCCCTACCCCCTCTAATAAGTTAAAACCTTATATAAGAAGTGTCTATATACCCTATTATCTTAAGGAAGTAGCGTTATACTAAGTAGGTAGTACCTAGGAAGGACTACTAGACACACTTACTAGCTTGCTACTAAGATGAGACGATCCTCTAGTGCCATTCACTAGTGGCCTTGCTAAGCTTTAAACCTGCTAGTCTTAAACATCCCTAAGCTAACCTAGAGTAGGAATGCTAAGATACCCTAACTAAGCTGGGGTATAGCACTTAGTGGCAGCAGACACGGCGCGATAGCTCCGGGCACTAGGAACGGAGTGAGAATTCAACAATTCTACCTAAAGATCAGGAGCCAATTCCTCACCTAGAGGCCAAAGCCTAGGCTACCCAAGCTAAGGAATCTACTAGAAATTGCAGTGGGAGTGGGAGCCACGAAAGCGACGAGAGTAGCATGGAATTTCATCTTTGATAAATTACACTATGTACTTTTATATATAATTTACTAGTATTTTGCTGTGAAATGCCGAACTTGCGCCGAACTCGCGCGTTGGTCACAGTCGGATCCGACAATTAGATCTATCCCCACAAGATATTAAACTTAGAAATCCGCGTCTTAGGCTTCTCCAGTGGATCAGGATTATTCTTAGCTATCTCAATAAATCTAGCAACAGGTGATTCTTCCAAAGATACAATCTTAGTCTTGTGGTAGAGCTTGTACCCTAGGTACAAAGTCATGACGATGACAAGGTCTAAGTATGCGGAGATAAAGGTTTCAGTGGACCAGCTAAAATCTATGATTAGATTTTTGCTATCAAACTAATAGTTGTTTTGTGGAGAGTAATAGAACTTACTTGTTATGTATGAAGGTTGTATAACCGCTTGTTAGGAAAATCATGGCAAACCCAGTCAAACTCATCCACGCCGCATACGGCTGGAAAGGCGCTGCCCAAGGGAGCTCCTTGCGAGAAATTCCCTGTTTCTTCAAGCTGTAATAGAATCGCAGGTAGGTGATGCAGATAATCATCCAGGTGATCAACTGGGCCGACGCAACGAGATCTTGAAGCCAGGTGAAGACCATTGCGGCGGTTTTGTTCAGTGTCAGGTAGCCTAGCGAGATGAAAGCACAGATGAAGAGGACGGTTAAGTAAGGAACACCCCAGCGATTGACTTGTTTGAAGAAGTTAGGGGCTTGGCCTTTGCGGGCAAGACCGTAAAGCATACGGGACCCAATTAGGACAGCTATATATGTTAGCAACTTTAGAGCTGTCTTCAGAACCCGAAAACATACTGGAGTTGCCTGAGCTCCAAGCACTGGTCATAACAATAGCGTTGATAATATGCGGAACGACCTTGATCCCAGCTCGGGTTGCGGCAATGACAAATGGCGACTGCGCTGCTGTTCCCGAGGTGTTGAGCAGCATTGGGTCATTGGATGGGACCAACAGGGTCATCATGAAAACCGTGACAACTACTTGACCATCAGTATCGTATAGATAGAAAAGAATCAAGGATTCGTACCGTAGAACATGACAACTCTAACAAAGACTCGCTTCGCTGCCTTTGGAATGTTTCGTTGAGGTGCGTATGTCTCAGACGCAGCAATCGCGATGCTCTCAATCGCAGCGAAGGCGTAGGCGGCATTGGAGAAGACAGTCCAGAAACCCATAAATCGTCCTAAAGAGCCCGCGACGCCAAGGTACTGCACAAAAGGGCCAGGGTCGTTCCAGTACTTGAAGCCGACCGAACGATGGTCAGGGCCCCCACCACAAGCGATAATGAGGCCCTAGTCATCAGTCAGCAGCTACATAATATAAGGAAGTACCTTTGAGAAATTTACCATCAAGTTCATCCCAACCACGAGCAAAACCTTTAGACAAGCGAAAGTGAATTCGACTTCTCCATAAATCCTTACCAGCAAAACATTGGAAATTAGGATGAGAAAACCAAAAACTGTGATCCAAATGGCATTGTTGAGGGTGATCCAGTATTGCATCACCACAGCAGCGGCGACCAGCTCAGCAGGGACCGCGACACAAACTTGGTAGACGGCATTCCAACCCATGGCAAATGAAAGAGCAGGATCAACGAAGATCGCTGCAGGTTGAAGAATACCTCCAGCAAGGGGAACAAGGGCACTGCAAATCTTTAGCAGAGCCCAGATAGGGCAGACATAATGGCATACCTAATTTCTCCGATAGAGAGAACAACTCCACAAACGAGAATACCCATGATGGTATAGCCCATACTATGCCACTATCAGATTTTGTACAATATCATTTGATGAGTTCGATTCTCACAAGACACCTGCCGGTCCAGCAGCAACAAGAGCTCGTCCAGACCCCAGGAACAGTCCCGTGCCAATAGTTCCAGCCAACGCAATCATCTGAATATGACGCTGCTTGAGGCCCTTTCTATACAACAAAATCAGCGTGGAGACTACCTGCATACTTGGTTTTGATGGCGTACCTCAACTCCCTCGTCTCCGCAAACTCGGGCGCTCCGGGCACATTAAGGTCTTCGACCATCTCAATATCACTGTTCACGTTGTTCTCGTACTTTTCCGCCATGTTTTATGAAGTTCTCCCGAAAGGGTTGGAGAAAACGTATCTGCAAAAAGGATGATAGATTTCGACGCAGCTGAAGACGGTCCTCAAGCTGCCCTGAGCTGAGTTCTATATACTAAAGAAGAGGAGACCAACAATGTGCAGGATACCTCTAATGGAGAGTAGCAAAATAAAGTTATTTACGTCACGCTCAAGTTTCCGCTTTTGTTAAAAGATAAATCGGCAAATAGCCTTGTAAACCCATCAGCCTCGCTACCCTTGCTTATCTTCATGTCTCGGGTCGACATGCTATCCTGGGTCACTCTCGGCGCGGTTGTCGAGCTGAGAAAGACCTTCTAAGTAAACCTCCCGAAAAAAAAAAAAAGTTTTGGCATGGAGCATCTTAGATCGCTATCAACATCACCGTTACAGAACAATGGTGCGGAACAGTTCTCTTGTCTCTCAGCACAGCTGGAAACGCCACCGAGGTGGCATTGTAATGGGCATGTGGTAGAAGAAGCGCTTGGGGCGTGTCGACCTGCCATGGACCTGTAGTGAGATGTTCAACACCCCGCATTCTCCCTAGAACTAGTTAGGTCCATTGGCTCTAGCGCTAGGAATTGTAGGAGATAACAACACTAGAGAGATTTTGTAATATTATAGGAAGCGGGGTGCCATGGCCCGGCTCGACTTGCCCTCGGAACGATACGTTAGCACGTTTAGCTGTGAAGATGCTAGTTTGTCTTCTAAAAAAGAGCCTCGGAAATGGCATTTGGCTGAAACGGAAAGTCGAGCCGGTACCCGTGACAATACCGAGAACCACGTCAAGAGTGGGAAACACCAACCTCTTGGAATATTACGCGTCGGGAATGTCTACCAGAATTGGGTGGTATCCCAGGCGAGCAGAGTTATCACTTTAGCGCTGTACAAAGTGAAGCCAGAATAGGGGCACCAACGTAGAATACAGTATATAGGTCCGTATAATAAGAATCAATTGACTAAACTAATATATCTACTGGACCTACGGAATTGTTGTAGGCCGGTTTCTAGTACATCTCAAAACATTTCAAACGGTTGATTTCCCCTACAACCATTTATCGAGCCTATTTTCCGTAAAATCTAGCCTCCAAAGCAAAAAGAGGCGGCGGTGATTGGCGGAATGATTGGTATAGTTGGCTTCTTTCTACATCCGACACTTGATGCACTTGGCTTCATGTCATGAATTAATGGCCCGTTTCTTGTCTTTACGTAAGGGCTTCTTCCCTTCTGTGGGAGAACGATTCTCCTATTATTTGCTATTGTCTTCCTCTTCTTGGCATCGGATATCTAAGGATTAAATTAGAGGCTATGAGTAAACATTCCATTTTAAAAGGTGGCGAGGAGAAGATTTTAACAGATAAGAAAGCTGGTTAAAATTGAGAAAGTTACCTAGGTCATTGGCGTAAACTCACTCGTGCATGGCCTCTCGCGGTAGTAACATCGCAAGACACCAGTGATGAACCCCATTGCCATGGTTAATCCCTTACAAAAATCAAGTGGGTGACGCATCTCCGCAAGAAAGGGGCAACGAAGAGGAGAGCACAACTATAGGAGTCTACGCTCTTAGTTAGCTTCGGGTATTGACTAAAGCGCCTGGGAGTGACCTACAAACCAGGTTATCCGTACAATTATGGTAACGCACAATAAGTGGGAATGATGTGTTGTATCGCTATCTGAACCGGACTAATGGAACGCCATATAAAGGACTCCGGCTTCCGTCGGCGACGCGTGGATTTCTTCCCCGAAGTTTCGATACTACTATCATATCTCATCTTGGAAGAGCCATTTAGGTAACACCTCCGTTAAAGCCCAAGTCAAGAAGTTGAGAAGGTCGAGGCGAGTCTGAAGTGGAACAGGGGAAGAAAGTCAAGCCGGGTCATTTTGAGGGCAAATCCATAGTCGGGAAAGTCGACCCGAATTATGATTGAATGTTGCATGTCGAACCGAAGGGTCAAGGCCACCTAGATTGGATGTCAACTCGCAATTGCACTTGATTGAATGATAAATAAAATGGCGGATCAACTTTCAAAATAGAAACAACGAAATAACTTTTTGAGAAAATAGAATGGGGCTGATAATCGTCATTAGAGACGGATTACGAGTAGTTAACTTTTACAGGGATTACTTTTACATCTAAATATATTGACAATATCCGAGCTTCACGAAGCTCTTCTTATTATCACTGTAATTTAGGTGGTAGAGCAGTTCCAATACGCCATAGATTGAGCATAGAATTCCACAATGGCTTGTTTCATCACTCGAAAGCCTATCGCGACAAGTGCGATTCCAAAACACTATGACTTGGTGCTAGAACCTAACCTGGACAAAGCTGTCTTTAGCGGCTCTGTCGCAAGTTGGGCATCCGGTTGTGACGGTCATCGTATCGGAAGACTCTATAGTCATTCGACAAGATCGCTTTCTCCGAACCAGAGATCCTTTGCCCGAGGAAGCTGCGATGTTATATCCGGTACCGTTTAACATTCTCTCTATTAATGGCCCAAACGGTGTGTTGCATGATACGTCGTTCGCAGAGCGAGAAGTCACAATCAAAGTAGAAGGATTTGTCAAGCTGAATGCCGGTCACACTGGGTTATATCGGACATGTTATAGTGCTGAGTATCTTCAAAAGCTGGCTGAAGAGGCCGGCAAGGGCGGCATCCTGGGTGTTGAAGACCGAGCAGGGCTAATTGCGGATGCTGCAGTCTTGGCATCGACAGGTTACCAAAAGACATCAGACTTTCTCCAATTACTTACAAACTTCAGCCACGAATCCCAGTATGTCGTGTGGTATATTATCATTATACATCTTGGTGCGATTCTGAGAGCATGGACATTTGAAAATCAACGTACCCAAGACGGACTGCAGTCGTTTGTCAGGCGTCTAATAGAAACAAAGGCTTCTGAGCTGCAATCTCGCTGACAGTGGGCACGCCGAAAAAAAATTGAAGACTTTACTGTTTTGTGCTGCAGGAGTAACTGGAGACCCTGCAATTGTTGATGCATCTAAGCAAATGCTCTTTGAATTTTCTCGTAACTAGTCAGTCATCGACGCGAATCTTCGGCCACACGTATTTCGTATCGCACTAGAAAATGGTGGGAGTGGCGAGGTAAATAAGCGATTCCTCACTCTTACCTCTGAAGACTGACACTTTCCCGGTACGGCGTGGTTCTCAACGAATATTTAACGGCGAAAACAAGCCCGGAGAGAAATACCGCCCTCCAAAGCCTAGGTTATGCCCGGGACGCAAATTTGGTACAACGAACTCTTCAGCTGCCCTTAAGCAAGGATGTCCGAGACCAGGATGTGCAGTTTGCCATTTCGTTTTTACAAGTTCATCGAACTGGTACCGAGGCTCTGTGGCAGTGGTTGCAGGTCAATTGGAATAATCTCTCAGTGCGGTTCAGTAGTCGGCCCCTAGGAAACATTATCAAAGCTTGTATGGCAGGTTTATAGACCAGAGACCAATTAAAATCTGTAAGGGCTTTTTTTGACACGAAAGAAACGACTTTAATTAAGATGCCCCTAGCCCAAGGACTCGAATCCCTAGCTGTTCAATGCGACTGGGTTGAGAGGGATCGAAGCGACGTTGCAGCTTTCATCGAAAATCTATCTCCCTTGGATCAATAGAATCAATAAAGTGATTTACCTAGCAGTCCCTTACACTACACTACATATAGCAAATGAAGAAAATTAACTAAGTTACTCAAAATTGCCAAGTACTACTAGACAATATAAATGAACCGGGTAGTTTCTTTGCAGTATATTATAGGCGTACTGTCAGGATCAATTTATCTAAGTAATGGTTGTACTATCGAAGGATAACAACAAGAACTTCTAGAATGAGAGGTTTTTATTCTTTAGATATCATTAGAATGCAAGAGTAAGCCATGGTCCAGGAGTTGCTTCTTCAATTCAACGGCCTGGATGACCTTCTCTATGATTGCCAAGTTCTTCTCTTCCTGCAGGCGGCGTGTCACAATCTGCAGGGACACCGGAGAATGTCGATACTTATCAGGTCCGGTATATGTCTTAAAAGAAAAGTCATCGTCTTTGCCGAGAGATTGTTCGATGGCTCGCGGAAAGTTCTCCCACGTGTCGGTTGGCTCCACCTTGCCCACGGGGAAGACGGCTGCAGTGTAGTCTAGTCTGTTGAAAGCGTTGGTATACCCAGCGTATTGGGCTTCATGTATAGCCGGCGCATTCGAAAAATGCACTGGGCAGATGATGGCATCCAGGTCCAGTTCGTCCCATTGGGCTGCGTGGGAGTTCTGTAGTAATTTCCGTTCAGAGTTGAGCTATACGCATTTAATAACGTTAGATTTTTCTGCTCCCATTCGCAAATTCTACCATTTAGAGAATGGACTTACCTTCCAGGTCTCCACTACAGTTAGTGGAGGGGAATTATTTCTCTCAGTCAAAATCCACTGCATTACAGGCACAGCCGGCTCCTCTCCCTGTTTAATGACATCCCAGTATTCCTTACCCGCATCAATGAAAAAGGCCCGGTCCATGGATTTGGTAAGAGCGGGGTGGTCTTTAGGATCCCAATAAACGACCGTATGTCCTGCTTGTTGAATTGCCAGAACAGTTTCGCGCAGACAACGTGTCACAGGTGGCTGCGGCTGAGCGACTCCGTCATGCCACATCACGCCAATCTTCAGATTAGTAGGAAGTGGAATCGGGTTCCAAGGCTTCTCGATCATCTCGGGCTCCTGGCGCCATGGTTCCGACGCCAGGATGACTTGGCAGAAGAGGCGCATATCTTCAACGCAGGTTGCTATAGGACCACAACAACCAATGACGTTCTCCATACCAGAATGAAGTCCTTCTAGTCCACCATGAGGGAGACGTCCAACACTTGGTTTCAGCCCAAAGACGCCGTTAAAAGCGCTTGGTGCACGGATCGAACCACCTAGATAAAATCAGTGTCATATCTCCCTATTAGAAATGGAAGCTTACCCATATCAGTTCCAATCCCAAGTAGACTACCTCGCATGGCAATCAAAGCTGCTTCTCCACCCGAACTCCCACCTGACGATAAGTTGATATTGTATGGATTGACCGTGATCCCATAGATATTGCTCTCTGTTTCGAGAGCCTGTCACGATGTATGTTATGTCAACTGCCATTTCCGGAAGGCTCCATCGTGGATTTTGGATCTAAGGACTTACTAATAACGTTTGTGGATTTGTCGTCTTGACGTGGAATACAGCTCCAGCCTCTCGGAGAACTCTAACGATCATAGCATCCTGGCTGCTGACAGAATCCGCGAGGGAGATCAATCCCGCTGTTGCGGGTGTCCCAGCTAATTCGATGTGCTCTTTGACCGAGATGGGTAGACCGTGCAGTGGACCCTTAGGGCGATGGTGGGTTTGCATGTATTGATCCAGCTCTGCCGCATCCGCAAGTGCCTGTTGGAACATAACTAAGGCAAGACAGTTTACCTGGTTCGGTTATTTAAGAGTCAATATATCCGTACATAAGTATTACAGCACTAGCAAAGTTGAATTGAGTAAGAAATAACGAACCGCTTGATGAGCAATAGCAGCTCTTTTACAGAAGGCGGTCGTCACTTCCACGGCCGTGTAGGTGCCGTTGTGGAGAAACCGAAGCAGCCCGGTCGCCGAGCGAGCAGTGATCTCCAGCTCACGGTGGGTGAGGATGCCACTAGCCTCAGGCAATCCAATTCGGTTCTCTAAGCCCCCCAGTTGAACTAGCGGCACTAGGTATTCTGTAGGGATAGCATTGTTGATCTCAGCCTGCCGTCTAGCAGCAACGAGTTTCCAGCTGGGTGCTACCACATCGACCGCTTTGACATCTGGGATCTCATTGACCTGAGGGGAGGTTTGCTCTGCTACCAACATGTTCGGGCTGAACGAAAGACGAATTGAGAAGGTTTTTAGTTGATAATAAACTTTCATGGTCGGCAAGAACGTCGAGGGATTTTGTCAGTCTTAAGTAGAAAATTAATCTTCGAACAGGAATAGTGGCGTGCACCACTTATTTCGGGACTTACTCTACATTATCTAATTTGGGCGAGTATTGTCGAACTCCAGCGTCAATTCTGTCTGGGTTGGGTGACTCTCTGCGTTGTTCTCGGCTCGACTCTCTGGTGGTGTGGGTCCCAGCTCGACTCTCTACTACGGTCCCGGCTCGACTTACCATTTCAGCCAAATACCATTCCCTAGGCTTTTTTGAGGTAAGAAAAAGGATGAACTAGAGGGGTAGCAATAGAGCCCTGCCCCTGGTACCGTTATTGAGATATTTTATCATCTGAACTTTCTGTCCCTATCTCTATCTGAATAGAAGTCAGAAATATTTCAAGAACATTAGCCCCAAACAGTCTACAGTCGAGCACTAGACACGAACCGCTTCACCATGTACAAGCAAACAAAGGAGAATACAATTAGGGTTTACAAAAATCGAGGTAATAAATCATTCTCTTGTCGCTAGCTCAATCATTAAGTACTATCACAATTGGGATTCGCTGCCTAGCAAATGCTGACCAGTCCCATTCACATAGCACAATATGACTTTCAAACAATTCACTCGATCCTCGCTTCCACCTTTGTTGCGACGGTATCCTTTGTTGTATACGATGACGGCGACGATGAACCACATCCATTCAGTCTTCCAATGACTGCGGTCGCTGGACGCTACAATCCCAATAGTCAGAAATTGCCAGAGGATGATGGGGACGACGAAACGTATGTGCAAAATCATGAGGCATATGACCAGCCTCTCGATATATACTTGCATGGCAATGCAGCCATGGTCTTGAACAAGGTGGCCACTAGTCAGGGTTCCGTGCGTATATGCATCACTGCAACCAAAGGTACGCAATCCTTCACGGAATGCCTAATAGAGGCGCGAAGATGAACACTAATATGACCTACTGAACCGAACAGTAGATGGAGTAGTATTGCACTTTGCACCAAATGGTCACTCTCTAAATTATCGATCCTGCGTCATCCATGGGGATGCTACAAAGGTGACTGATCCTGAGGAGAAGTATCATGCTATGCACCTCTTGACAAACCACATGTGTCGGCGCCGTTGGTCCTCGGTGAATCCCATCGCTCCAAGAGCGATGTCTTCGGTGCAGGTATTGAAAGTCAGCATTCGAAGTGCGTCGGCCAAGGCTCGGGCGACAAATATCAATGGCTTGGAGAGGGAAGGCTTTGGAGAAAGAGATGATGTATATACGGGAGTCGTTCCGCTGTACGAGGTGCTTGGTGAACCCGTACATAGCGGCTATCACCCAGATCGGCCGGTTCAACCTGAGATGCAGCAGTGGATCGATACAAGGAACCGGAGCGAACGAGATTATGCGGAAAAGGTTGCTCAGATACCATCGTCTTAACGTAGGAACAATAACTTAAGTCGTCTTGTACTGGCGGTAATGGCGTACTGGCGGTAGTGGGGTTGGCAGCCCATCGACAACACCACAAAATCAATTATTTAAGCTCTAATACTCGACTACAATATAATCATATACTTCCTCCGAGTCCTCCATAGGTTCCTCCTTTTCTTGCTCAATTATAGCGTTGTTTGCAGCTATAATACTCGTAGTTGTTGACTTCTGCTATGTAGCTTCCTTAGCTTAGAGGACTTGCAACTGCAATTCCTTTATAGAAATTTATAAGTGACCCTCTCAAACTACCCATTTACCTTTTTGTTATACCCTTTAAGTTTAAACAATTAATTATAGATTGCCTATATCCCATTGTTATAAACCTCATAAGTTATATATTTAGTTGGTTTAGTAAGGTGGCTCCAACCCCACTACCGCCAGTACGCCACGACTTACGTTATGATCTCTCAGACGAGTAGGACTCGGCGACCAGACTTCTGGATGATCTGTGGCCATCCTTGAAACAGATAATCGGCCTCTAACGGTGGACTGTCGGATGGAGGCGACGACGACGTATGGCGTTTTTCGGAGCTTGATTTTGCCCAAAAATGTTCCAAAATATCCAATGCTGTCTGGGCGTTGCCAAAGCCTATTGCATCATCCACAGCAGCACGGACAAACTCTCTGAAAAAACTCTGCTTTGGTCCTTCAGCGAGGCATCCTGCTACACAAACCGGCCACAGAATACCTCGAGCCAGCTTCCCACGGTCAGTTCTTTGGATCCGCTGCATCGCCGTTATAGTCCTTTCCACGCTAGTCCTAATTTCCAGTAGTGATGGTTGCACACCACAAACAACTACCAGCCGAAACAATATAGTTAGTTTTATATCTCATTTATATCGATGTATAATAGATTCATTATATAGCGAGGGGCGAATAGAGAGTATGCGTTGGCCCATGCGCTAGTGGAAAGAAAAAATACATACCCACATGAAGATAGACAACTGCCGCGCAAGCAAAAATGTTGGTGATAGTGCCTGTAATTATCTTAGTTTGATAGATTGTTCTGTCATTGCTGCAATAAAGCCCGTATGCATCCAATTCTCTATCCAGGCGCAGGATTGCTATCTCTAGGTCATCTAGGATCACCTTAGATCTAGTGACGAGCCTCCAGGTGCTAAACGACCGGTCCTTGAGACAGTTCATCTTCCATTCCTGCAGGGCACTGATCTCACTGATCAACAGCATGATATGGTTCTCACAGCCCATTATATCCTCCATTTTGATCAAAGGGCCTGAGGGTTGTTCTGACGAGTCAAGTAGCCGTTGAAGGTAAATGTATAGTAATGGACGACGTCCCGTTGATACACCCGCCAAGATATCACTCCACATGAGTGCCCCAATGAGGAATCGACTAGCTTCGTTGTTCTCCGAATCCATTTCGTCGGCGGAGAGGAGCGGAAATTCAGCGGCGCGCATGAGAATGAATCTAGCCACGGCATCCACATGAGTATACCACTCATCTATGCCGCCACGACAAAGCTGTAGTAGGACATGTTAGGTTAAAAAGTATTATGACAGGGGACAGAATATCATGACATACATCAAATGAGATCAGCTGACTGCAGCATGCAAGAATCGGAATGTACCCCGCCGTTAGGGAACTTGATCCGTAATCAGAAATAAAACTTCGCAAGCCTATTAACGCAGCGGCGTGGTATTCTCGCAATTCAACTAACGTATCCGTTCGATTATAGCCGTCATGGAAATTGTTGCTGCCTCCCTTCTGTTGTTGTAAACAATGTAAATGCAGAGCGCTGAGGCTGAGGGCTGCGTGTCGAAGGGGAGGGATGGTTTCAAGGAGAGAGAGGAGCCAGCTCGGCGACGGCAACGTCGTGCTGATGTATTTCTGATGGAAATACTGCAAGGCAAAGACGTGATTGAGGTAGTGCCTTAGCAGTTCATTCTCCCGCCCCGTTAGATTGAGCAGTGTCCACCGCTGCGTCAGCGCTCGCTCCATATTCGTCGCCGTTGGTTGATTTCTGACTTCAGCAGGGGAGAGTAGAGACGGCCAGAGATTCACATCGACATCCCCGGCAAGCATCTCATTGATGAGCGGTAAGAGCATGGCTTCATCTGTTGCAGGACCGCCACCGTGATTGTGATTCCAAGATTCACTTACTTCATTATTCACTAATGACTCTTCTGCGCAGTCTAACCGTTGTGATGGGGGGGGGGGAATCTGCGCCTCCATCAGGCTTTCATTTCGCTCCGTATTGGCCGCTCGTGCTCGGCGCCGTCGATTGTCTGCGACACGAGCTTTGATGACTGCCAACTGTTCTGCCTCTCGTAGTCCACCATCTTTCCAGGCAGGCTTTGGACCATATCCATGGCAAGAAATCCCACAACGTAGGCACCTTCGGCAATGATTCGGGTCCTCATCACACTTTAGCTTGCGAAGCCGACATGTCCAGCACCCCGAGCTCCTAGGTCCATCAGTGCTCATGCTTGGAGCTATGGGCCTGAACACTTGCTTTATCCTAGGATACAGAGAGAGTTCTAAGTGTAGCCAAGAATGGAGGTCTGCTCAGTCACCATCTGCTTGTAGAGGGCCAATCCGATCCTTACCCTCCACTAAGACTAAGGTTATAAGGTTTGCGAGTGGTAGCGAAATATGATTAGTCGGTAGGGCACGGTTCGAGTCTTTATAGTATCACTAAGGTGGTGCTGGTGAAATAAGAGTTATAATGTAGAAACAAAGCAGCGACTTTAGTGCCTCAGGTAGAAGCTAAGCCGAAAGTCGTAACTTAGGACACACGTGATTTAATTATCTGGCCCTGAGCCTGCCTGAGCAAAAGCGGCGCGGGGCACATTGCCGTTAAGGATATGCAGTGTCGAGAGTCCGAAATGTGAAAGACTTTGGCAGCGAATTCGATACCGGAATCTAGACCTGGACATGAAACTTGACAGTGGTGTGATTTCCGAGCGCGAACCAAACTTGTAGAATTCCATGGGGCTACGGCTCTTACTTATGCCGTGGCCCCGAAGCTATCCTATGTACGAAACTACACTAATATGACTAAGTTTCACTAAATGTAGTTGCCTGATTCTGCCTGATTCCTAGGGCCAGAATCTCAGTGCCTCTATGAAATAATCACATGATGTACCGAGATAACCACTGTCGAGCATTCAGAAATCGCCCTTCTGAGAATGACCGCAAGTACTTCCACATATCATGGCTAGACAGCTTCCGATCGCAGATCTTCACGCCTGTGACGGAAGTCCTGATATTGCCAACGCTGGAGAATATAAAACGGGAGACATTAAGGCCTGCTCCATCAGTGGAGGCCCTTCGACAATTACGTGTGAAAAGACTGTCCGCGAAGATCGTTGTTCAACGTCTCTCAGGCTTCCCCATCAGTGTTCAAAATAAATGTCGCCTATGTCCATGACACGTTCCTCGTTCAGGCGCGAGGCCTAGTTCCTACTCCCAAATTTACAGGGGGTGTATGTACTATTTCAGTGAGATGCAGCTGAGATAATCGTGGTGGAGGACTATGTCTGAACGTAGGTGACCCGAGCATCCCCCCAACCTAAGTTGACCCACCCCACTTTCGGAAAAAATTCAGCTGACCCCCCTATAAATAAATCCTTAACTTCTAACCTTCTACCTTCTATTAAAAACACTACTAAGTCTACTACTACCTACTACTACTACTATAATAGCGCCTATAAAGCTTAACGATAATGTATAAATACAGTACTAATAGATTTGTAAGGACACAGGACACCGTATCACGAGAGGTTGCATATGGGAGTGCGAGTCGGATAGTAGTCGGTGCAATCCTATAGGTCTACTACGAAGGATACAAAAAAGATGAAGGGGGAACCCTCCGTTCCTGTTTCCTTCTATACCCGAAACCCCTCCGACTCAGCTAACCCCCTATTTACCTAAGGCTTCCTTACGCTGTGTGCCTAAGGCTCGCAGTCGCGATTGAACTGTAACTGCCCTAAGTCTTAGGGGCAGCACGTGACGACTGTAACTAACCTAAGTAAGGAGGCATCCTTACAAGATTAATAATTCTACTAATAGCTATAATAGGCAGCCTATAAGGCCTATAAGCTCCTTACTAAACGCTTACTTAGAATAAAGCTTTTTAGTAAAGATATAAGTTTAATTCTAGCTTAACTTTACTTTTAACTTTATGTTAGGTTTAATACATTATTAATACATTAATAATATATTAGGATAATAGGCTCCTTATTATTAGATCTAGAGAGCTCTTTTATTAGTAATCCCTATAGATACCTAAGTATCTAGGGTATCTAGATACTTATATATAGATACTTATATCCTTAAGAATTTAACAAGTATCTAGATACTATAAGTATCTACAGATATATATCTAGATACCTACTAAGATGTAACGCTAGGTCTTAAACTATAAGACTTACAAAGGTTTCGTTACGTTAGTTTACTTAATAGAGGAGGTAGGGGATTAGACACAAAGGCTTTTATAAAACACGTTATAGTATATAACAAATACTATATTAAGTTGAGCACGAAGCTCCTATCTAAGAACTATCTATCTACTTATATAGTAGCGTTGTACTAAAGGGAATAGTTGGAATAGCAGACTCTCTAACTATTCTTACTATTCCTACTAATCTAATTACGTGTACATCCTATAAGAGGTGCTACACTTATTATAGGTACTAATTCCTATAGGTGCCCTTCTAAGGAGGCACCTTACTCTATATAGGTGCCTTTCCTAATAGGTACCTTTCTTTTACTAGGTACCTTCTACAAAAGGTACCTTTTCCTAAAGGTGCCCTTATTAACTAAGCTACTTACAATCTCTACGTCTATTTCCTACTACTAATTAGCTATAAGCTATTTTACCTTATTATTCTATCTTATAGCATATAGGTTACATGTTTTAGCTATAACACTAGGTCCCCTCCCTTAAGGCCTAGTCCTATAGGCCATTACTAACTAAGAATCTACTAGCCTACTTAAGTGTAGTAGGTCCCTTATATTCATAGGGTAGGTAAGGCCATAACTATGTCTTCCTCTAAATACTTAAAAATCAAAGAACGTAAACTACTTACTAACTATATAACCTATAAAGGGGTTGAAATGCCTTCCTATTCCTACTATAAGAAACGAGGTCTCTGCTACCTTGCTTCTACATCCTTAAAACGATGTAATAAATGTGTTCGTTTAAATTCCTATAACTATAATGTCTCTAGTCCCTCTACTAGTGACTAGTAGTTACTATAGAAAGAAGAGGACTGTCTTTAACTTAAAACTCACATAACTTATAAGGCTATAGTAACTGCTATAGCCTATCTTAACTGCCTTAAGTAGTAGTAGGATCTCCTTAAGACCTAAGGTGCTAAGATGCTTCACTATGGTTTAAAGACCCTTAATGAACTAGAGGAGGTAGAAGAACATAAGTAGTAAGAAGCTAAAGCCTATAGTTACCTTACTAGTCCTTCTATAACTAACC